AAAAAAAAAAAACTTTTGTTCATACCCCACTGTACATGCATCTTACAGTATATATGAATTATATGTATCATAAATAATAATGTATATATGTATATCACAAATAAATAAATACATGTAAAAGGAGTAAAAAATAATACCTCCAATACCTCAAAAAAATAGCAAAAATAAGACATATTTTTAATAAATAAATAAATACATTTCACAGAGGAGTATTTACCTTCAAAATATGTTTTAAAAAATAAAAATAATAATAATAATGAAGAAAAATTGTATCGAGTCTGGTCTTGATAGTTGACACTTAATGTAAATTTATTTAATTTTACATGATTCGTTAATTTGCAAAGGAAATATTTGTATTAAATGAGAAAAATACAAAATAAAAAGCTTTTTTCTAGTTGTCTCAGACTTTTGGATAACCATATATCAAAAAAATATATATATAGATAAATTCTGTGCATAAACTCATTGTAGGTATCATACATGCTGCCCATCAATTGATGCAAACTGTGCATCTAAATATGCTTAACATGTGGTCTACTACATGATGCTTAAAAATGAGCTGTATGTCAAACTTCACCTTTTAGGATTTCCTACAGGAAAGCTTATAATGTATAACTCTTTATATAGTCTATAGTATATAGTCTCATTTCATCATTATCATTAGTAAGCACCACTAAATTAATACATTTGTGTATTTTCTTGTGAGTCCTCACCTGCCTGCAGATTGATGGTGTTCTCCGCTGTCTCTTGAGGGCTCACCTCCGCCGACACGTGCTGTCTGTGTATCCTGCCTGCCGCGTTGGCACTGGATAGCGTTTCTATGGTGGAGCGATCGGACACATACACTCGTTCTCTGGAAATAAAAGTTGTGCATGGCTTTAAGTTCATTTAAAGCTCTTGAAACTAACATGAGCGGAAGGCACTGAGACTCACCCGTGTAAGATGCGCAGCAGTTGTTGCACGCCGCCCCACGCCCGGATCTCAGCACTGGTGTCGGGGTCCTGACACAGCTGCACGAGAGCCCACACCGCGCTCCACAGCAGCTTCACGTGCTCCGAGTGCAGGAGACTGAGCAGCACCGGCACGCCGTCACACTGACGCACCTGATCCCTGACACACTGCACCGAGCACAGCAACCTCAGCAGCTCCGCGCTCAGCCTGAGAGCACACACATTTACACAATGACAAATAATATCCAAATGAATTCAGATTTAAAAGTCATTTCTGTGCCACTAGAGGTCCCACTAATTGGTTTGATGACCTATTTCATAAATAACATAAAATATATTATTTTTGACCAATTAGTTTTTTTTT